TTGAAGTATAAAGATTTCGATCAATTCTGTAGCGGCTACTTATTGTTATTTTTAGATACCTGTATCTCATTCTCCGTGCCCTCTCTTATCTCTCATCCTTCACTATGTTCGGCGTCTTTTCTTGTTCTCATATATTCTCCACGTCCTCTAATCACATGTTCTACTCACTATATTTCGTGTCTGTTTTTCATTCTTCTCACGCTCTTTTCTCGTATGGTCTTCATAGTCTCTTTTCATACGATATCAGCTACCGTGTCCATTCACTGTGTCTTTTCTCTTTGCAATATGTCATCCACTAGGTTAATAAGTGGTAGTCGGTACATCTCTATTTGGTTTTTTAAATATGTGTTCTTGTCAGTTCCCCTCTCGTTCAATCAGTATTTTTCTTTCATTCTGCTTTATTCGTTTCTTCTCACACATGTCAAATATGTTTGGTCTTTTCCTTTCCTTCTCTATGTGTCATCTTTTCATATGTATCATATCTCATGGGATTTACCTTCATCATCCGATGGACATCTTCTAATGATTTGTGATCCACTTTCCTATATATAGCCGGTGTTTTTTCATAAATAAACATAAGTGTGATACACATTCATATCTAGTCATCATCCCATCGGTGATCTAGAATTGGCCACCTGACGAGGTACTTTCTCTTCATATGATATTATTCATTGTCTTTCCTCTCTCTCAATTCCCTCTTTTCTTTATAACTATATAAAGTGTCGTGTGCTCATAATAAAATGATTTTTTTCGAAGGTATTAGGTGGTAATTCGCACATCTCTACCCACTTAATTCTTATGTATATGTTCTTGTCGATTTTTATCTAATTCGATATTTTCCTTTTCTGTTATCACATATACGGGGATTTTCCCTTTCTTAGTACTTTTCTTTCTCTCAGTGTTATTGTTGATATGTATTATATCTGATGGGATTTTTCCGATCATTTTACCTCAATATTTCCTAAATGTGTGATGTCCCATCCTATATAATGATGATGATTTTGCATAAATAAGCAGAGTGTGAAACGATCACTTTCTTATCTTATTATCATCCATCCGACGAAATAGAGTTAGTCACCTAATATTAGCGCATTCTGGTAGACTAGTTGTCAATTCAACAGGTGACAATTTAATATTGGGCAGCGAACATTTAACTGAAGGTCAAGCAAGTAACTACTTACAATGCAGCCAGATAAACGCAGGACTATCGAGTCGTTTTTCTTCTCAAACAAAAAACCACGCAGTGAAGAACAACAATCAGAGTACAACAGTAACATCTCATTATCACCATCTCAGATTCAAAATTGCCCTTTTTCATCTGATCATCAAATTTCTCCTGATTTGTCCGACATATCTTCTTGTCCTTCTGCCAATACATCTGCTTCTTTGAACGACGATTTACAAGCAAAAACAATTCCAAACGATATCAGTTTGTCTTGCAATGATGAGGCTGTTCAACCAAAATTAAAATCTTATCCTTCAAAGTCTCAAAATCATTCATTTCTGTTCAATTGGTTTCAGAACAGACCGTGGCTTGAGTACTCTGTTCAAAACGACGTTGCTTTTTGCTTTTACTGTCGGCATTTCTCTGCAAACAAATTGAATGCTGGTGATGTGTTTATTTTAGATAGCTCATCTACAGTTTACCCTGAAAGTGAAAACTTTCTAAATATTGATCAGGTAGATGAATTTTGTCGTCATGTCGATGTTGATTCAAGTCTTGGATCAAATCTAAAAAAGTTAGTGACATCATAAAGTTCTTAAATGAATTACCTTATCATCTGCCTTTCCACAAATAATCAAAATGATTTCAAGTGCCATAACAATACCTATCTCACAGATCACATGCGAGAGATCATTCAGCAAGTTAAAAATCATCAAGAATTATCTTCGAAACTCAATGACCGACGAACGTCTCAGTGATTTAACGGTTTTATCTATTGAACGTGAAATTGACATTAATTATGAACAAGTAATTGATGTATTTTCAATTCTTCATAAGAACAGTAAAATTTATTACGTTAACTTTTTTGTTGTTGTGTTAAAATAAATACTCTTAAAAGGACCTTACGGCGTGTTTGAAGGCCTGGTCGCAATAGAATATCAGTCACACCGATATTGTAGATACTCTAAAGAATTTTGCTACAGGCTAGAGAAAACTCACACCACCGTTTCTGGGTTTCTGAAAAATAACAGGGCTGAACCCACCCTGCTAAGAAATCCTGGCTACGCCGCTATCTATATTCTGAGATTTTCACACAATTAATATGTTTAATTGAGCCTTATACATCAGAAAACTGCTGAGATTAATGCAAGAAAGAACATCGATTTTTGATACTCAGAATGGCTGACGAAACAAATTTCCAATTTTTCTACACTTAAGAAACGTTTTTGAGTTTTACTACTCTTTACTCAGTTGCACGAATTGAATCTTTGAAATGGATGGCAATTTTTTGCCATTTTGAAATGGAGAAAAAACGGACATTTAATGGCTACATTTATTTGGCATTAGTTAACGCGGTCTAATCAATGGACGAAAATGCCATTTAATGGTGTCCGTAAAATGACAATTTTTCGGACATTGTCTATAATCTGGCATTATTTTCACCGTTATTTCAACGTCAAAAAATTGTCATTATAATGGCTGTTAAATGACAATTTTTATTCGATTTTTACACAATTAAAAAGGTCATTTTTTGGTATACAGTTAACAGGCTGTTAATGGACAATTAAATGCCAGTTTTCGTCGACCTGAGTACAAATACGATATGGATACACCACAATACTGGTATCGATGTATTTTAACTACTGAAAAACAGATATCTTACGATTGTCTCTCACTCTAGAAAAGACATGTGGTGGACACAATTCAAAGCGTTGGCCACACTGTCCGAATACTGGTCGATGACGGTGACAGATGCCGGAGCATGTCCGTCGTTCATCTGTTGGAGCACAACGGCTGACTTGATGAACGTTTGAAATAGGTCAAGACAGAGGAGTTCAGATTTAAATAACCTCGAGGAATTCATACTTTCATAATAAAATCGATTCGTCATTGATTTTTTCTTCTAATATAGTACGTAACAAAAGTCAGAGAATGACGTCGAAAATAAATGACTGATCTTAATTTGTACACCCTCCACAAACGTCCTTCTAACGGTATCTCAGAAAGATAAACAGTTAAGTCAACATAAAATACACTCTACCTAGCGGATGAGAGAGGATCATACTAGTTTCAACAAATGATCGAAATATGCCGAAGGTATTATCGAGGCAACCCAAAACAACTGAAGTTGATAGATGAGTTTGAACTAGAGTATAAACCACAACACGCTATTCGCTGGTATACTCGTCAGTCGTTCATTTATAAATTAATCAATAAAGCTTTATGTACTGAGGACATTCAACAACTTTATACGTTTCGGTTTTTTATTATCGATCTTTGTACGAGTATAAAACGAGAAGCTATGGCCGAACAACGTAGAATTATCTTGTATCGTGGGCTGAAGCTATCGAACGATGAACTGAAAAAGTTGATACAAAACCGGGGGAACTTCATTTCGATAAACGGTTTTCTGTCGACTAGTCGATCAAAAGAGGTAGCTCGAATGTTTACCACGACTTCCGATCGTTTATCTACCGAAATCGGTGTTTTATACGAAATTGTATGCGATTTAAATGAACTAAACGGTTCCACTAATTTTGCTGATATATCAAAACATAGCGACTTTCCTGACGAAGAAGTTCTGTTTGATTTAGAAACAACATTCCAAATTTTATCAGTTGATCAAATAGAAAACGAAAATATTCATCTAATTAAACTGAAAGCAACATCGGAAGGCCTAGAATTTGTCCAAGATTATAATGCATTATATCGAGAACAAGTAAAAGAGAAAACAGTAAGAGTTGCCTTCGGTGATCTACTCATTGAAACAGGACGGTATGATCAAGCCCAGTTGTACTTTGAAAACCTCTACAAAAATTCTCCCTCAGAAGATGTGGCTATTATCCTTTCTAATATTGGTTTGTGTCATGACTACAAATGCGAGTACGAGAATGCGTTAAAATACTATAATGCCTCATGTCAAATACTCGTGTCATCGGACCCGCCGCGAGCGAAAGAGTTAGCGAGAGTCTTGAACAACATCGGCTTAGTCCTTCAAGACACGGACCAGTACAACCAGGCACTCGAATTTCTAATGAAGTCATTACACATTCAGAAAAAACATGTTCAACACGAACATCGCTATGTTGCTCAAACACTAAACAATATCGGTGTCATCTACTACATACGTCAAGAGTACGATCTCGCACTTGAATACAACAAAAAATCTCTTACATTACAAGAGAAACTTCTGTCATCGAATCACATTGACATTGCACAAACTTTAAATAGCCTAGGACTCATTTATCAAGATAAAAGTGATAACTTAACAGCTTTAGAATACCATGTAAGATCACTTGACATAAAAGAAAACTATCTACCACCAAATCACATTAAGACTGCTCAAACATTAAATCATGTTGGTCAAATATACTGGACGAAAGGCGAGTACAATTATGCACTTCGCTACCATTTGAGATCATTAAAAATGCAACAGGAATGTTTACCATCTGTTCGTATAATCAGAGCTTATACACTTGACTACATTGGACTCGTTTATTATTCGAAAAAAGATTTTGATTTCGCCTTATGATATCTCACTAATGCATGCAAAATCTACAAAAAATGTCTACTAGAAAAACATCCAGCAATGGGCAAAAGCCTCAATCATATTGGAGCAGCATACGAAGCTAAAAACGATTTTTCTCAAGCAGAAATCTTTTATGAAAAAGCTTTAGAAATATTTGAACCTTATCAACAAGACTGGTTAACAGTCTCCGATAACGTAAGCCGTGTTAAAAGTAAGATTTTGTAAATTATTAATCTATATTTTGTTACATTATGCGCAATAATATTTTTCATGCAATTACTACAGGTTTTACACACTCATATTTTTGAGATAGTGAAATAGTAGCTACAGGATACCTCGATCGAAAATCGATTTTCATAAACGCTGTTTTCTTTGAATGACACAATGACAGAGCATAAAAGGCATATTTGTGATGGAAGTTTCAATCGCAGTCAATCGAAGCTGCTGAATAAACAAGATTAGTGTACAATTTATCGAGTAGGTTTATCGGAAATTTATCGGAAATTAAATTGCTGAGCAAGGCTTGGACAAGCTGCTATGAATTCAAGATCATGCAAGCGCTAGAGCTGACTTATATTGAGTGTGGAATGTACAGAATTAGTGAGGCAAACAAGAATAACAAAATAATACATTGAAGCGACTTACAGGATTAAGTTCGTATAGTTACAAATCACCTGTTGTATCGAGTAGGACATAAACGGTATACCTATTTATCAGATGATGAAATTCTGTCAATCAAGCATTTACAAAATTATAAATCCATTGTTCTACTGAACGCGGACAAAGGAAATAGTAATGATAGATAAAAAAGATTATTTCCAAAGAAGGTACCCAAGCAAAAGAAAAAATCAATAAGCTAGCTCAACCTAGGTAAAGCGGTACATTTAGCTAGTTCCAGCTTGATAGTAGCCAGCTTGAGCTAGCTAAATGTACCGCTTCACCTAGGTTGAGACTTTTTTAGACTATCTTTATGTTTTTTTCACTGTTAATTCAATTGCTTTCGCTAGAAGAACTTTTGGATATCTATTCTTGTTCAAGGGTTGTTTTAGGCTCAGTATCTAATAATTGCTTATTTGAGCAGATTCGAACAGTTCTAGTGACTAACGATTTAATGAGGCCAATTTATTGATAACACGGTCAACTAGAATCTCACTTCATATACAAGTTCCTGCTTGTTTTTTTCCAATAAACAGTTGTTTTATATTAGCACGTCTAAAAATGCTAATGCACCATCTCCTCGAGTGTGAATTTTATTTGTATATGAAGTTGGCTAATAGTACCAAATAAAAGTAATGCGTTCTTTTCATCACAGTTTATCGTACAATTTCTGATCAACTTTTTTATCTTTTAATAGTTCTTTTAATCTATTGTTTATCTTATTTTCTTCATCAATTGTCTCGTCAATTACACTCTCACCAAACTTCCTCTTGTCACTTAGCATCTCTGTCACCCAAGCAAAAGAAAAAATCAATAAGCTAGCTCAACCTAGATAAAGCGTACATTTAGCTAGCTAAAAACGGAATTATATATTTTGTATTATTTGGCATTGAGGAATGTTCAATTTCGTTTCTGTCGCCTAATTTATCGGCAGGGTGATAGTGTCTC